GGTACGTCTTATGCTCTCTCAACCTATCTACCTATGTCTTTGAATTAATGTTCAAGTGTTAAATATGTGTCTTTAATTTTCTGATAGAATTTATCGTAATTATATGCAGATGAATGCTCACTATATCCTAACCTTCCCTGGTGCAAAAGTCGGAAAGACATTATCATTGGTAGGCTCATTTTCCCTTTTAACTGTTCGAAGAATTCTACAAGGAAAAAGCTAGATGCTCAAAATAATTAATAAATAAAATAAAGAATTTTATTAAGAATTAACAATAACTTGTGGTTCAAATTGAATTAGTGTATAGTGGGATTCATACATAAAGTGAATCTGAACAATACATTAATATTTCTAAATAAAATTTTAGACAAAACACACTAATATTTACACCCACACACATGTTAAAATTAATGCCATATTTACTAAAGGAAAACTGAATCTGTTTTATTTCTATTTCTAACCACACAATTACAGTAGTGCATATACATATTTATAGAGAATACCTGTGTAACTACTATTTAACTACAGTTTACATGTAACTCAAATATAACCAAGCTACCTAACTCTGATTAAGTCATAACTGTCTAACTGATTCTGTTTTCTAACTAATTCTGTTTTGAGCTGACTTGTAACTCTCCTCTGCTTTGGTTTGCTGCTAGTTTGCTGACTTGTGCTCCTTAACATGCCCCTGCAAGCTGATGGGAGAGGAATAGCCCAGAAGCTTGGTCTGAAGATAAAGAAGCCGAGGGGAGGCAAGAGGTTTAGTAAACAAATCAGCAAGTTGATCCATGGAGGAGATGTGATTGATGTGCAACTTCTTGGCGGCAACCCGTTCGCGAACATAATGATAATCCACTTCAATATGCTTGGATCTTGCATGAAAGACAGGATTGTTGGACAAGGAAATAGCAGACATGTTGTCACACCAAAGAGTAGGAGCTGGTACAGAGATGGACAAATCAGAGAGCAGCATACCAATCCAGCTAAGTTCAGCAGCTGTTTGAGCAAGGGCTCTGTATTCAGCTTCAGTAGAAGACCTGGAGACAGTGGGTTGTTTCTTTGCTGACCAAGAGATGAGGTTTGGACCTAAAAATACGCAATAACCAGTGGTAGATCGTCGATCAAGAGAACAACCAGCCCAATCCGAGTCAGAAAAGGCATGTAAAGTGAGAGGTCCAGAACTAAATTGAAGACCAAGATGGAGAGTGCCCTTAAGATACCTCAGTAATCTCTTAACCAGAGCAAAATGACTGGTGAGAGGGTTTTGAAGAAACTGACAAGCATGGTTGACAGCAAAAGCTAAGTCAGGACGGGTGATAGTTAGATATTGCAAGGCACCAACAAGACTGCGATAGAGGGATGGCTGAGAGAAAGGCAAATCTGCTGCTTGATCATCAGTAGAAGATTTAAGGGTCATAGGAGAAGGAGAAGACTTGCAGTTTGTCATACCAGCCTTAACTAAAATTTCAGTAGCATATTTCTTTTGAGATAAGAAGTAACCTGAAGAGGAAGAGGTAACAGCAATGCCCAGAAAATAGTTAAGAAGCCCCAATTCTTTCATGGAAAAAGTAGAGTGCATGTGGGTAATGAGAGAAGAAAGATAAGAGGAGTCACTCCCTGTGAGGAGGATATCATCAACATAGATTAAAAGAATGGTGATGGAGTGAGAAGTCTTCCTAACAAACAAAGAAGAATCACAATGGCTAGCTTTAAAACCTTGAGTGAGAAGAAAGGAAGAAAAAGTGGAAAACCAAGCTCGAGGAGCTTGTTTGAGGCCATACAAGGCTTTATTGAGTTTGCAAACCATGGAAGGATGTGTGGTGTTAACAAAGCCAATGGGCTGATGCATGTATACCTCCTCCTCCAAGATACCATGAAGGAAGGCATTTGAAATGTCCAGTTGTTTGATAGACCATTGAAAGTGAAGAGCCAAACAGAGAAGAATGCGAATAGTAGGCTGTTTGGCTACGGGACTAAATGTCTCAAAATAATCAATACCTTCAGTTTGAAGAAAACCTTTTGCAACCAACCTGGCTTTATGCCGAGCAATAGTGCCATCAGAATTTTTCTTGAGACGAAATACCCATTTGCAACCAATAGCCTTTTTGGTGGGTGGAAGAGAGACTAAAGTCCAAGTCCCTTGCCGGATTAAAGCATCATATTCATCCTTCATAGCAGCAGTCCAGACACTGGATTGAGAAGCCTCTTGATAGGACTGTGGTTCAGTAAGATCGGTGGTGGTAAGTAAACAATGTGGCTGTGATTTGGATCTAGTAATCATAGAGTGAGTATTAGTAGAAGGAAGAGAAGGAAGAAGAACAGATAAAGAAGAAATGGGAATAGAATAAGGATTCTGAGAAAGATAAGGCAGAGTAGGAGACTGAATTGGTGTAGAAAACAGATGAGGAGAAACAGATTGGGAGGCAGACTGGTGAACAGAATGAAGTGCAGGTGGCTGAACAGACTGAGACTGGTCAGATTGTAATGCAGGTGACTGAACAGATGGAGGCTGGACAGACTGTAGAGCAGGTGACTGAACAGTCTGAGGTGGAACAGAACCTTTGGAAGGCAGAACTGCAGGTATAGAACTTGTAGAAGGTATAGGTGCAGGTGTAGATGCTGCAGGTGTGGAAGAGATGACAGCAGAAGCAGGTTGTGAAGACCAGAAAAAAGAGTTGAGCTGGGACAAAGAAGAGGAAACAGATGGAACTGCAGAGGAAGAAGCAAAAGGAAATGTATGTTCATCAAAAATAACATGTCTAGAGATATATACCTTGCCAGTGGAAGGATCAAGACACCTATAGCCCTTAGTAGATGGAACATAGCCAAGAAACACACAAGGCACAGACCTAGGTTGTAGTTTATGAGTGGTATAAGGTTTGAGCCAGGGATAACATCTGCAACCAAACGTCTTAAGAAATGTATAATCAGGAGGCTGCTGGAACAAGACTTCAAAAGGTGTGAGAAAATTAAGCGTGTCAGTAGGAAGCCTATTAATAAGAAAAACAGATGGGGCTAAGGCATCAAACCAATAAGCAAGAGGTAAAGAAGAGTGATGCATAAGTGCAATAGTAGTCTCTATGAGATGTCTGTGCTTCCTTTCAGCTACACCATTTTGAGCAGGAGTATGAGGACAACTTAATTGATGCTGAATGCCTTTACATTTAAAAAAATCAAGAAATTTGTTACAAAAATATTCACCCTCATTATCACTTCTTAAAACTTGTAAGTGAGTAGAAAACTGATTTTCAACAAAAGCCTTGAACTCCAAGAACTTAGAGAACACCTCACTTTTGTAATAAAGGGGAAATAACAAGGTAAATTTGCTGTAATCATCAATGAAAATTACATAATACTTGTAGAGAGCAACAGTGGAAGTTAATGGGCCCCACACATCAGTGTAAATGAGAGCCAAAGGTTTATTGACAGTAGAATTTGACAAACTAAATGGTAGTCTATGACTTTTGGAAACACAACAATGGGAGCACATTTTATTAATATCAACAGATGGAGAAGACACCAGGTGATGTTTAACAAGATACTGAAGTTCTCTGGAAGATGGATGTCCTAATCTAAAATGCCAATTAGGAGAAGTAGAGCTATTAACAACACAATGAAAACATGTTGCTGGTGAATATGATGCAGTAGATGTAGCAGCAGATGCAGGGACAGAACTACTAGGAAGGTGATAGAGACCATGGGAATGGAAGTCTTTATAGAGCACCTTCTTGGTACTCTTGTCCTGTATGAGAAACACATCTTTATCAAAAGTAATAGTGCAATGATTATCAGAAATAAGCTGATGAACTGAAAGTAAATTGGAAGATATTGAAGGAACATGAAGCATTTGGGATAGATGAAAAGGAAATGAGGGTATAGGGAGGAGACCTTGACCGGTGTGATATATAGGCAATGTATTACCATTTCCAACAGTGACCTGATCAGAACCATGATATGGTTGATATGAGGCGAGATTGTTCAAATCATTTGTAATATGGCTGGTAGCAGTAGAGTCCAGAAACCAATTGGTGTTAGTGTTGATATGAGAACTGTCACCAATAACAGAACCAGGCTGAGAGGATGTGGAGGCAACATATGCTTGAGAAGTGGAAGCCCTGGCAGGCTGAAATGAAGTATCCAATCTGTACCAACACTCTAATGCTGAGTGATTTGGTTTGCCACAAATCTGACAAAGTACTTGTGAAGAAACATGCTGAGCAGTAGAAGAATGAGATGAGTGATATCCTTGATATCCTCTTTGAGAAGAATCTTGATGTGAACTCTGTCCATAAGATCTACCTCCTCTGCCTCGAGAACTAGAAGAATTGCCTCTGAAAAATCTGCTACCATCTCTTCCTCGACCTCTGTAAGAACCTCTTTTATAACCACCTCGAGAAGAAGTTCTTGAAGTATGATAAGCAAATGAAATCTCTACAGTATGGCCTTGCTTGGATGAGGATTCAACATGAATAGACTCAGAGTTTAGCAAATAACATAACTCTCCAATAGAAATGGATTCAGATCGAGTTCGGATGGAAGTTTTAAATGCATTGTACTCATTAGGCAATCCATTAACAATCAGTAAAACCAGATCCTCATCATCTACAGGTGAGGCAGCTAAAGTTAACTGATCAGCAATGGATTTGATCTGAGTCAGGTATTCATCCATTGTATGGCCTTTTTTGACAACTTGATTAAGTTTGTTCTTCAACTGGTGAATATGTGATCTTGATAAGGATGTGAAACGTTTGATAAGAGCATTCCACACCTCATGACTTGTAGAACAATGACGAACAGAAGTGAAGATAGGTGGAGAGAGAGTTGCAGTCAAACAACTGAGCAGATGAGAGTCAATAATCATCCATAGTGTATACTCTGGATTCAGAATCACATTATTGTGTTCATCCATAACAGTAGATGATGGACATACCTGTGTGCCATCAACAAATTGGAAAAGATGTGTAGCTTTCAAGATATTTTGAATTTGATTTTTTCAAATGATGAAATTTGTAGAATCGAGTTTGACATTCTCGAATGAATTTAGATTTGTGATGAGAAGAGCAAGGTTTGGAGGAATGGAAGATGATGTTGAAGATGGAGTTGATGCGATCGCAGAAGAAGAGAGATTTATAGATGGCAGTGAAGATGCCATTGATTTATCTTTCAAGAACAGTACTCGTAAGAGCTTGAATGTGGCTTTGATACCATAAAGGAAAACTGGATCTGTTTCATTTCATAAAACTTTGATTACAGTGCATATACATATTTATAGAGAACAACTGTGTAACTACTATTTAACTACAGTTTACATGTAACTGAAATATAACCAATCTACCTAACTCTGATTAATTCATAACTAAACTGTAGTTGAGGTGTCTTGGCTTCAGATGTTGCTTCATGATATGCCATTACAAAAAATTAAGGTTTTAGAGATCAAAATTTAAGGACAAAATTATTTTTTAGAAGCCAAATATTTTTTCTGCGAAAAGTGTTGTCATCATATTTTTAGCAACGAAAATTAGACATTAGTGATGAATTATTATCATTTTGGGACCAAATTTTGTCTAAAAAAAAAAAAATCATTTTGAGACCAAATTATTTTGTTCCTAAAAGTCTACTTATTAGTGATATTTTCAAAAAATTTTCGCTAAAAGCCTTATTTTTTACTTTTCAGGACGATCTTTTAGCGACTATCCTCACGACGATAGAAATTGGTCTCTAAATGTCTTTTGCAACAAATTTTTCACTTTCTGGTCTCTAAAACTCTTATAAATTGTAGTGTGCATAGCCTTTCTTCTGTTTTTGTGCTTTAGTGTGATAATTTGTCTACCTTATCTTTGGCCTCAAATCTTGTTTTTCATGCTAGGACAAAACATATTGAAATCGATAATCATTTTGTCTGAGAAAAGGTGCTTGCCAAACAATTTCTCATTCAATATGTTGCTTCTTCAAATTAGGTTGCTGATGTGTTCACCAAAGCTCTTCCTATTAGCAGGTTTCTTTTTCTCAAGTCTAAGCTTCTAGTTGATCTTCCCCCTATCAGCTTGCGGGGGGCTGATGACCAGTGTAGCTTAGACAGCTTAAACAATGATAATGCTAGTTAAGCACTAGCCCAAAACAGTGACAATGCTTCAAGGCCTGCTAAGTCTAGTAGCACAAGTACCTGTTGTCCCAGAGCTCTATAGTGTGTGTAGGATAAAGGTAGTCTAGTGCATATTAACGAAAGAATAGTGTATGTTAGAAAACCCTTTTAACAACTGTTTATTAATTTGTTAGATGGTTATCCTTTTGTATATAAATATATTAACCCATTGTTGTAAACTCGAAGTGAGTGAGTTCATTTGATTAAAAAAAATCAGTTCAGTTTTTTATCATTCTTTCTCTTCATAGATATTTTCAAGAAGCTGGTGTTGATTTCTTAGATACTTTTAGCCCTATAGCAAAGCAACTAGCCATCAAAGTTTTCTTATGTGTTCCTCTTCATTTTAATTGGCCTATTAAGTAGTTGGATGTCTCTAATGCTTTTCTTCATGGCAAGCTTGAAAAAGAGGTTTTTATGGCTCAACCATCTGGTTTTGAGGATTGTCAATTTCCTACTCATGTGTGTAAGTTGAACAAGGCTTTTTATGGTCTTAAACAAGCTCTAAGAGCTTGGTTTTCCACTTTCTCCTCTTTTCTGCTTAACCTTGGTTTTGTCAATAGCCACTGTGATAATTCCTTGTCTGTTCAAATTACTTGACCTTTCCATCTTTTCAATTTAGGCTTAACAATCTTCTTTATGTACCACAAATTGTTATCTGTTCATCAACTAACTACTAATAATAATTGTAGCATTACTTTTGACAATGAGTTATTTATGATTCAGGACAAGCTCACCAACAAAGAGTTATGTAGAGAACATCATCAAAATGGCCTCTACCAGTTTCTTTTTTCATTTTCTTCTAAAGCTTTTTCTGGTACTAGTTCTCTTGTTACTATTTGGCATAAGAGATTAGGGCATCCTTATTCTGATGTGTTTCATATTATTGCAAATAAAAGTGGTTTGTTCTTTAGTCATAAGGATTGTAATACCTTTTGTCATTCTTACTGTGTGTCAAAGAGTCATCGACTCCCTTTTGTACTGTCAACAAATAAAACTCATGCTCCTCTTACTCTGATTCACTTAGATGTTTGGGGCCCTTTCACTCAAGTGCATGATTCTTTTACTTACTATGTTATTTTTATTGATGATTTTAGTAATTTTACTTGGATTTATCCTCTTTCTTACAAAAGTGAAGTATATACTAAATTCTTAGAATTTAAATCATATGTTGAAAATCAATTTTCAACCTCTCTCAAAATTTTAATAACTGATGGGGGAGGTGAATATACTAGTGGTCTATTTGAGGCTTTTCTTCGAACCTCTGGGATTGTTCATCAGCTTAGCTATCCTCATACTCCATCACAAAATGAAGTTATTGAGAGAAAGTATAGACGTCTTATTGTGACAACAATCACACTACTTGATCAATCATCTGTGCCTCTAAAATTTTGGTTTGAACCTTTTGCTACTACTATCTATCTGATAAATAGAATGTCTTCTCCTGAACTGGGTAATCTCAGCCCCTATGAGGTGTTGTTCAAGATGGTTCCAGACTATGGTTTTCTCAAGGTTTTTGGCTGCAGATGTTATCTATGGTTGAAGCCTTATACTTCTCACAAATTGCAACCAAGATCCAATGCTTGTGTCTTCATTGGTTATCATCCAAGCTACAAGGGATATAGATGTTTGGACCCTTTTTCTGGGATAGTTTACATATCTAGACATGTTGTGTTTGATGAAAGTTCTTTTTCCTTTGCTCGTTCTGACTATTCTTCACCACCTCTACTTTATTCTAAATCAGCCATTAAGTCATTCTTTTGGGATACTTCTTATTTTCCTGCTTCTCAGGTTCCTATCTATTTCCCTTCGGTTTCAAATTCTCCTTATATTTCTTTACCATCCTCTCATCCAACTGATCATTAAGGCTTTTTTCCGCTACTGATCTCATTTCTTCTTTAGCTTCTACTTCCCTTCATGTCTTAGATAATCCTGGTTTTATCTCTTCTCCTTTATATTCTTTTCCACCTGGCATTAATCTTACTATTCCTATTTTTTCTCAAAATCTCAATTCTCACCCTATGCTCACTCGAAGTAAGACAGCAATCTCTTCAACATTTGGTCTTATTGCTTCAGCATCCATTCATCTGTCTTGCATACACCGGGCTCGGCATATCATACTAACTGCATTGTATTTCAATTCCAAGTTGAATAGATGTTATCTGTAACATCTCATATGCCATTTTAGAATAGCCGAGCCTATCTTAGTTACATCCTGCATGTGTTGCATTAGGCATCTCAGCATAGTTAGGATTCATGCATGATTTCTAATTAGCTTCTTTCTTTGGCTCGGAGTACTCGGCGAGTGTTTATGCTTTAGCATCCTTGCATGTATGTGAGTGACTGCCATGATAGCATGCTTGCCATGAGGTTAATTGCTTATGTGATATACCTGACTAAATGCCTGTGGGTGAAGGTTGGATTATTTGAATTGAAACAATTCATCGATTGCGAGTTTTAAGCCCACTTGAGAGTGGCAAATCACCATGTTTTCTAAGTCTACTTGAGGGTGGCAAAATCCGCATTTTAGCTCTTTGTGAAGAGAGAAAGAAAGAGAAAAACAATGTTGAATAAGGCCTGTTTGTTAGTTTTCTTCTTCTCTCAATCTCTTTATTTGTTGATATAAGCCATAGGAAGAAACAGAGTGAAGCCCTTGACAATCTGTACAGAGCCAAGTTGAAGAAGAACTCTGCAATCGACATGAACCTTTTCGAGGCCATTCGACATGTTGGTGGAGTTGAGGTTTATCCACAAGAGGGACTGAAGGAGAGAGATAGAATTGTGAGATTGCCGAGGCAACTAAATGTCGAGTTCACTCAGTATGGAGGGTATGTCACACTCAATGAGTCGGCGGGTCGAGCTTTCTATTATTACTTCGTTGAAGCGAATGGACAACAACAGTTTAATCACTCATTGCCTCTTCTTCTTTGGCTTAATGGAGGTATTTTTGAATTTTGTTGCCCCTCATTCCATTTCCATGTTTTTGTGTTTTGTGATGTCAATGCCACTAGCGTGAACTAACTTGGTTGGGCTTATCCTTTTGTTTAGTTGGGGGATTTGGAAGGAGATTTGAAAAAGAAAAGAGAAAAGGTACATGAAACTAAGTGAAATATAAATATATTTTATTCACATTTCACCTAACTTTTATTTTTCATTTTCAAATCCCTCATCAAATCCCCTAACCAAATACAACGTTACTTTTCTCTGGTTATTGTTATTATTATTTTATTTTTAACACAAAAAAAAGGTTTTTTTTTTTACGTTATTTCTTTATTTTTTACACGTTTTTAAAAAAAATTAAAATATAAACTTTTAACTTATTTTCTAAAATAACTTAAAATTAATAGGTTAATAAATAATTTAATTATCATAAAAAGTTAAAGTCGCTTAGTCAACTCAAAGTCTAAACTTTTTAATATTTTTACTATATATTTTACAGTAATGTTAAAGATTTCTAATTTCGAGGCTCTAAATATACCTCTAATAAGGTGAAAAAAAAAAAAGAAAGACACAATACTGACAGTGACAATAGATCCTACACACCTCTAATTCTAAAGCATTTTTGTATATCTTAAGAAACAACAATAAAGAGCACTTGGCCAATGCCCTCGACTAATTTCCTGTTGTTAATGTGCGTGTGAGTGGGATGTACTTTTTTCCAATAGGAAATTTTTCTTGGACATCCCAAAGATTCTCAACTACTACAACTACAATATGTGATATTTTGATGATTGCAACTGTTCTTAGTCTTTCTTTGAAACGCATAGATAATGGCATTATGACAATTTTTATTTTTATTTTTTTATACTTTTTAGTAAGAGTATAAATTTTTTATATGACATGAATTTAACACAAAATTTGCTAATCCGGGCTACTTAGGTCTCATTTGGCATGTGAGTATTTTAATTTAAAAGTAAAAAAATTACTAAAAAAATATAAAAAGTCTATAACTTATATTAAAAAGTCAAATGTTCATTTTTCTCTCTATTTTTTGTACATCTTTTTGTAAAAAAAATCAAAAAGTCATTCTAAACATAATAGTTTTTTTTTTTTTTTATATTTTAGTTAAAAAAATCAAAAAAAATTAAAATAACATGTTCCCAAACAAGACTCTAATAATTAACAAAAAAAAAAAAAAAAAAAAAAATTAAAATAGACTAAAAAAGTCAATAAGAGAAAATGTCACATTCAAATCATAATCATTTCACTTTTTTTCTTACAAAAATAAAAATAAAAATAAAAAAAAACAAAAAAAACCAACTTAAACAAACTTAAATAAACTTTTTAGTCCTAAATTAAAAAAAATCTCAACTCAAAAAGCCAACTAAAAAAATCATAACCATATCACAACTAAATTCAAGCAAGATCTTATTATCTCTCCTTATATTTTATTAGTTTATGAAGTTATTCATGTCAACAAAATAATAATCTTACAAAGTAATAAGATTTAAATCAAATTCAAGAGAACAGAAAATAGTATATGAAAAGACATTTTATTAATTCATGGAGTTATGGTTTTTTTTTTTTTTTGAACGGCGAAGCAAATGATCTTTATTGATGAAACATACGACGTATGACAAAATACATCAATAAAGAGGAGTTTGAAACTAACACAAGCTTCAAGCTCCAGTTGGCAAGGAGCCAACAAGAAACAGAAAAAGAACGAAAGGTGGAAGTTGAGCAAGAAGTTAAAATGGGAATGGCTATAAAAATCTAGGCAGGATTGGAATATGAAAGGTGATAAAAATACAAGATTTTTCCATGTTATGGCTACTTGTAGGCAAAATAGAAATTCTCTCAATTCCATCACAGTGGGGGATACAATCTTTGAGGAACCAGCTCAAGTTAAAAAAGAAGTGTGGTCTTTCTTCTCCAATCATTTCTCCGAAGCTTGGAAGCATAGACCGATTCTTGTTGGAGATTTCAAGAGTGTAAGGTTTAGCGACCATTTTCATTTGCTTGAGGCAGAGTTCTCTGAAGAAGAAGTCTGGGCAGCTGTAGCTGATTGTAATGGGAACAATGCTCCTGGGCAGGATGGCTTTAACCTGCTGTTTTTTTAAAAGTTTTGGAAGATGCTTAAGGTGGAGGTGCTCAACTTTATGAAGGACTTTCACACCAGCGGCAGATTACCAACATGCTATAACAGTACTTTCATCACACTGATTCCAAAGAAAGAGAAAGCTGTCACCTTAACTGAGTATAGGCCTATAAGCCTTATTGGTTCTGTGTACAAAATTCTATCTAAAGTCCTTGCATCCAGACTCAAAAAAGTTATGCCTGCGGTCATTGGTGACTCACAATCAGCTTTCCTGGGAGGTAGGAACATTTTGGACGGAGTTTTGGATGCTAATGAAGTTGTAGATAGCTGGCTTAAATCAAGAAAATCTGGACTGCTGTTAAAACTGGGTTTCGAAAAGGCCTTTGACTCTGTCAATTGGGATTTTCTTCTCTCAATGTTAACTAATTTTGGTTTTGGCCTTAAATGGACTTCATGGATCAAGGAATGTATCTCTACTTCAAGAATTTCAATCCTTGTAAATGGCTCTCCAACTAAGGAATTTTATCCTCAAAAAGGCCTCAGACATGGTGACCCTCTATCCCCCTTCCTTTTCAATTTGGTTGTTGAAGCTCTAAACATTCTCCTCCACAAAGCTCGGGAATTGACTTTTGATTATGAAATATTGGAAACATTTGGCATTTGGTAACATTTACAATTTATTGTTATTTGCTTACAAAAAAATATTAAATATATTTATGTTTGTTTCTCATGAAAACGAAAAGAAAAAAAAAATGTTTTGAAAACAAATGAGTTGAGGTGAGGTGGGATTGTCAAAGGTGGTTGCCAGACTCAGGAAGTGGGTGACTCATTGGAGGTGGTTTCCAAAAGATAGGTTGGTGGCCAGTGGTCATGGGCGATGGTTGGAGGAAGTCACTGATGGCAAACATTATTGCTTTTCACTAGAATGTAGTAAATTAAGTTATACATATATATTTATTTAAAAATGAAAATAAATAGCGAACGAGTTTATGTTTGCAGTTTTGAATTTTTATAAATATGAACAGAAAATTGTAAATAACATTTATAAATTACCACTTACCATGAGCCTAAATGGTGGTGTGATCCAGTGTTTTCGGAGACAAACCCAGGAAAGACTACAAAAGTCAGGACATATGTCAAATACAAATCCAGTGCATAATCTATATTCTGAGTGAACAATTGCTTGTTGCTAAATCTCTCTTGTTCATCATCATCTTCAACCTGCGTAGAATACAAAAGCCAATTTAAAGTTTGAACTTTTTGTTTTTTTAAATCAAAGTTGAGTTGTTTCAAAACTTATTTCTTAGATAGGAGTTTGTTTTGAATTTACTTTTCAAACTCAATTTCTTTTTGTTTTTTTGAAGTTACTATTTTCAAAACATGACTTTAGACTACAAGATGTGTTTTGAAAACAGGACTTAAATATTTTTAATTAAAAGTTAATTAAATAAATTACACGATTGATTGCTCTAGTTTTTGTAAATCTAATTTACTTTCAATTGCATTTCAATGTGATCCCTCTATTTGATGCTGTTAGCATTTTAGATGGAAAAATAATAAGTTCGAAACTTTGGGGACCAAAGTGAAATTCAAAATAAACTATAGGGATCATTGGTATAATTTATTATTATTTTTTCTTGGGCAGGGGTTGCTAAAATTCCCATGTAGTCACAATTATTTATTTATTTATTTTGATCCAAAATGCTAACTGAAACTGACAGAAGGATCACAATGAATCTCAACTGATGAAGGACCACATTGAAGTGCAATTGCAAGTGGAGGGTTTAAATTGATGAAATTAAACCTACGAAAACGAAAGAGAAACTTTGCTCAAGGATCAACGGTGTATTTACCCAAGTTAATTGAAGTCGTGTAAACAGTACTTCAACCATAAAGTCGAGTTTTCAAAAAAAAACTACAAAAAACAAGGCTTGAGAAATAAATCCAAATTGTTTTTTATTATTTTTTTATTTTTTGGAAAACTTGATTTAAAATCTAAAAGAAGTAGGCACACTCCATGGGTTGGTGCTTCTATTCGGATGCCAGCAGCAGCAAGATCTGCCGTAACAGTTTTCGATGAATGCATATAGAAATATGCATAGAAACTCAAAGAATGTTGAGATTGCTAGAAACAACACTGCAAAAAAGACATATATCCCAAGTTTATACTTTTGAGGTGGGTGACTAAACTAAAACTAATTTTGAAGTGTAAGGATTAAACTGTTCAATTTAAAATTATAAGGATTAAAATAAAATTTGAGTCAAATTACAAAATTGAAAAATGTAATTAACTCCAAAAAGGATGTTTATAAGAGAGGGAAATATTTCATACTGGCTCCCTTGGAAAGGCCATTCAATAAATTGTAAATGTTACCAAATGCCAAATGTTTCCAATATTTCATAATCAAAAGTCAATTCCCGAGCTTTGTGGAGGAGAATGTTTAGAGCTTCAACAACCAAATTGAAAAGGAAGGGGGATAGAGGGTCACCATGTCTGAGGCCTTTTTGAGGATAAAATTCCTTAGTTGGAGAGCCATTTACAAGGATTGAAATTCTTGAAGTAGAGATACATTCCTTGATCCATGAAGTCCATTTAAGGCCAAAACCAAAATTAGTTAACATTGAGAGAAGAAAATCCCAATTGACAGAGTCAAAGGCCTTTTCAAAATCTAGCTTTAACAGTAGCCCAGATTTTCTAGATTTAAGCCAGCTATCTACAACTTCATTAGCAACCAAAACTCCGTCCAAAATGTTCCTACCTCCCAGGAAAGCTGATTGTGAGTCACCAATGATCGTAGGCATAACTTTTTTGAGTCTGGATGCAAGGACTTTAGATAGAATTTTGTACACAGAACCAACAAGGCTTATAGGCCTATACTCAGTTAAGGTGACAGTTTTCTCTT